GATTTGACAATTGCAACAATAAGGAAGAGACACCTAACCCCAGCATAGGCAGCAGCAGTAGAAAACCCAGAGGTAGGATAAAGATTAATAAGTAGACTTGAACAGCCAGGTTGGCTTACTTCAGTCAGTTATCGGTGATTAATAGCACTGCAGTGAATTGAACTAACCTTTCAACAGAACTGGTTAGCCTGATGTTCGAGAGGGAGGAGTTGTATAGACATTGTGGACAGTGTAGGTATTTTGTGCTGTTTTATTTCACAGAAAGTAAAGGATTGCAAAAAGTAAACATCTCAGCAGGTTTCAAGCAATTAATACTGATCCAAGTGCAAATAACTGTTCAGATCACAGTGACTGAGCAGATAGGCGACAGTAGAATAGGCCGTTTTGTGACCTGGTCCAATTTGATAGCCACTCTTTTTATTGTAGCAAAGGAGAATTCATAAGAATTGGATCAATTGTGACATTAACTTCACTGTTTAAATTTGAAGATATTTAATTCTGCAGTTATGCAAGTACAACTAATTAGAATTGTAGGAGGCTAGAATTTTCTGGTGAGACCCTGGGGGAAGGGGGAGGTTCCACCAACTCCTCATGAATCCTGTTGCATCCATAAAATGAAAGATTAGAAGATCTTTTCAATGCTTTAGGCAGGGACCTTCCATCATTCCTGGAGCAATTTGTGATCCCACTTGAGAGAACGGGAACAGCTAGAAGACTTTCGCTGTTGGTGACTCAGAGCGTGGGGAGAGTGTAGACAAGAAAAGAAGTTTGAAAATCCACATCAGTGTTTTTTTCCCACATGAATACATTGTTAACAACCCCCATTCAAAGAGAAATAATGGTGTTTAAGAAGAGGAACCACAGCCTTTTGAAAGTTGGGGGATCTGACTTCACTAACGTGCAGCTTCAAGTGAAAACTGAATGAGGAGAATAAACAAATAGACTTGATATCACTGTTGCTTTATATTCATGTACTTCTGCTTTGTGGGAAAAAGAGAATTAAAATTACTAACCATCCCCCCCATATCATTGTGAACGGTTAACTGTGACATGTTTTTGACAGAATGTTTAGGACTTTTGTCACTAGCAAGACAGTCACAAGATTTCATGGCAACAGTGATGGTTGAAAAACTGGCTGACTGCATCATCATCTGAGCAAGAAACTTGAGAGGTGTCCACCATCAGTTGTATCTTGACAGGAAATGCCATCTATTGGACAGATACCACGTTTTCCAATCTCCCATCAGCCAGGCCCACAAACAAAGAAGGCAATGAAAGCAAAGTTGCAGTAACAGTAATATTGAAAGCAAACAACATCTTTTCGGTCAGTACCTGACTTCCAACCTTACAACCTCCAGTGCGTCCATTGCGCCTCAAGTCCACCACAACAAGCACCTCCGCACAGGTCCATTGTCTGTTTACCAGTTTGGTTCAACAAAAATAACAACAGAGAGATCCAGCAGATTCAGTCAAGTACGTGCATAAAACTTGCCATCACTGGAAACTTCATCGCAACTCAAGAGCATTTCCACAAGCAGCTGAAGGCAGGAGTACTGTTTAAAACGGGCAACATAAGAACAAATGGCGGGTGGAAAAAAAAACGAGGGGATTTCTCAATCCCAGCACTGGCCCAGTTTGATGGAAGTTGAGAAAAAAAATTCTACAGCTGAAAACAAGGCCTCTGGAGCAAGTGAAGCCCCTGTTGAAATTCTGAAACATGGCAAAGAAATACTCCTGGCATGACTGTACAACCTCATATCCCACATCTGAGGAGTGCATGCCATTGGATCTCAGGGGCTCTGGAATTGAAATCATATTCAAAAAGGCACACGTTTCTGATTGCTGTAACTACACAACTGAGTCTCCTTGATCTCTATCACAGGGGAGATCATTGCAAAGACCCTTATCCATTGTTCTGTCCCAGTGATTGAAGAGCTCCTTCTGGTATAATGGACTGTTTTTCATCCATCAAGAAGCACTGTAGACACGACCTACAATGCGCAGCAAATTCAAGAAAAATACAAGGAATAGCATACCACGTTCCATAGCCTTTTTTGATTTCATGAAAACCTTGGACTCTGTCACCTGCAAAGGTTTATATGGTACCTTTCTCAAATGTGGCAGCATTCAGAAATTTATCTCCATGCTGTGCCTACTCTTGTGTTGATATGCAAGCTAGGATCCTCAGCACAGTTAGAGAGTGGTGTGAGAATAGGGGGGTAATATCACTGGATGAGTAACACAGAGCCTCTGGCTAATGTTCTGGGGACAGGGGTTTGAATCCCGCCACGACAAATTGAAATCATAAAGTCTGGAATTACAATCTAATCCAATGACGAGTACACAATTGTTGATGACAGTGGTAAAAACACACATTTGGTTCTGATGAAGGGTCTAGGCCCGAAACGTCAGCCTTTCTGCTCCTATGATGCTGCTTGGCCTGCTGTGTTCATCCAGCCCTGCACCTTGTTGTCTCTGGTTCACTAATGTTCTGTAGCATATGAAAAAACGACCTTTCACAAAACATCCAGAGAACTGAAGTCCTCTTCCAACCAGCTCCACACACTCTGATCGTAAATGTGGTCAAGAAGGGAGATATGTCCAATTGCTATAACTTTAGAGGAACCTCCCTGCTGTCCGTCACAGGTGAGATCATTACAAGGACCCTCATCAATCGTCTCAACCCACTAGCTAAAGAACTCTTTGCAGAGTCGTGGTCTGGTTTTCGTCCATCAAGACTAGCAGAACGCCAACTAATATCAGCAACAAGATTGTGGAAAATATTTTTCTATCTTATCCTCTTGACAAAGTCGATAGAAGTAACCATTGCCTCCAATATGGGAGCCCGAGCTCCATCTGGCGGAGATAAACTCAATATGAAGGTCATGATTTACTAAGCAGCAGCAGCATACCCTGCGCTCCTACAGGGAACAACCTACAGTGGGTGCCTCAAAGCACAGGAGATGGGTGGCACAGTGGCTCAGTGGTTAGCACTGCTGCCTCACAGCACCAGGGACCTGGGTTCGATTCTACCCTTGGGTAACTGTGTGGGGTCTGCACATTCTCCCCATCTGTGTGGGTGTTCTCTGATTTCCTCCGGCATCCTAATGCAGATGTGCAGGTTAAGTGGCTTGGTCATTGTAAATTGTTCATAGCGTCCAGTGATTTGCACTCTAGGTGGATTAGCCATGGTAACTTGGGGTTACAGGAACAGGAGTGGGTCTAGGTGAGATGCTCTTTGGAGGGTCATTGTGGATTTGGTGGGCCAAATGTACTCTTTCAAAACATTGTAGGGAATTCTAAGAAGTGCCACTAGCAACGCCTTCAAATTTGCTGACAAGAATGGCAATCCAACAACAAAGCCTTCTCCCAAACCAACATGCCCAGCATTGAGGCACCAATCACTCAAAACAAGTTCTATTGGGCAGGACATGCTTTGTTGCACTCCAGAAACAGTTCCTCTACTGGGAATTGGCCACCGTGGGAGACTCCAGCAGGATGGCGGACATGCTTTAAGAATATCCTTAATGAGGAAGTCAAACATCCCTCCCTGACTTTTGAGTCCCAAACCCTTCAAACACATTGTACCTCACGGGGGGCAAAGTCTGCAGATCATGCATTGGACTTATCAGCCATCTCAGAACCCATCAAACGGCACTATAAGCGGTGATATTTTCCCAGATGACCACTACTGGTACCCTGTGGTACATGGCACCGGTACCAGTGTGTGTGGTACTGGGTATGTGTTGTTTGAGATACTTCACTGCCAAAAATCCTCCTTATTCTTATGCTATCGAGTGACTACTGTGGAGGACATACCACTGTACAGATGCGACACTGCCCTTAGATAATGAGAAAGTTTATTGCACTGACAGCAATGAGTACAACTACATTTGGTCAAGCATTAATTATAGGGATTTGGGGAGCTAGTACATATACATCTGCTCACCTCAGGGAGCTAAAGTAGAACTTCCAGTCTGCATTGTGTCACATCAGTAGAATGAGTGGAACCAAAGTAACGTGAACATTAACATCTTCAGAACCTTATACAACAGAGGCAAGTCAAACTCAATTCCAATCACTGCCACCATAGATACGGCCTTGGTTTAAGACTTCAGGATGAGTTGCTGAACTATTGCTCACAAGTGTGTATTCCAGCACCAACTTGCTGTCAATCGCCTGAACAGACAAATCTCGGGTAACCTACTGAGAATGAAACGTTTGCTGGCCTGCATTCTCGATCTTTCCAGACCCTCCCCCCATTGAGTCTGCCCTTTAGAAGAGTAGGCTTATTGATCTTATGCAAAACAGCAAGATGCAACCGTCCCCACGGAAATCTCACTCTTTCCACAAACTCGGATAAATGGTAGGGCTCTCTTCTCCCTACAACTGCACAATAAATTCCCCAACCCCCAGCCCATTATTTGCTGTCAATGCACGCACAAAGAAGGAAAAGGAGTGGGGCCTTTTTTTTTAAATATCACAAACAACTTCTCTGTTCCATGTCAGCATTCAAGGCTTCACACACGCCTGATTTTTTTAACTCTCTCTCTCTGTGACCTCTGGGGCATCACAGGGTGGAAATATGGGACTGTAGCGTAGTGCTGCCGTTCATCTTACAAATGACTGCACAAGAGACAGCGTTCAGTGTTGGTGGAGAGAGCGGAGGCAGTGTGTGTGAGAGAGAGAGAGAGAGAGAAAGAGGAGGGATGGTTACATAGGCAGAACACTGATCTCAGGCAGTGCAGGACAGTGTGGCAGTATTTCACACAAAAGCAAATTGGTGATAAATTATGCACATTGAACTGCACAGTGTCAGCTGCAAGACTCGTTCAGCAGCAGGAACCCAGGGCTCGGCGCCGACAGGGAGAGTGTGGGAGACTTGATCCCGAGCAAGGGGTCACTCCGCCTGGGAAGACAGAACCAGTTTAGGATTCCTCAATGTCACGAACCACTCACTACCCGGGAGAGATCTATCGGAGCGGGCTCCTTCCTCCAGGCGAAGGGGAGGTTACAAACAGCTTCTCATCGCTCGTGCTGTGAGGAATTTGGGAAGCTACGCCAATCTACTGGGTCTCTTGGGCAGCGGGGTAAGAGGAAACGTGCAATTTTCCTTTCAATCGGTTTGACTTGAAGGGTTTGCATGGTTGCAGAAGCTGGTGCTGGCATTCAAATGCCCACTTTGCACAAAAACAATCCCAATGCATGTGTGGAACTAAAGTGATTAGCCCGGTTGCGTTTGTGCCTCTGAAATAATGCTGTCCGTTCAGTTCGCAGACTCGTGCTTAATGCAGTCTCCGGGGTTGCGTTGTAGTTAGAAAATTCTAGCCCTTTGCAGAGATCCTTAAGTATTGAGGGCTGCTGGAATGAATGAATGGAACCTCCCGGGTAATACGGATAGGAGGGGGAGGGAGGGAGGGAACAGTCGCTGGATTTCGGGGACGTTTTGAACTTTGTGCTCCCGGGACAGGGACTCTGTGAAGCCCTAGGCTTTGCTTTATATTGCATTCCTTTGGAGCTGCATGTTCAAAGCAGACAGTGCAGTTTTTGTTATGATGGGGGGGGGGGGGGGGGGGGGTTACCCTTGAGTTTAATTTATATATATGTGTGTGTGTATATAT